TCGAGCTCCTCCGTGCTTCGGAAGGCACGCTAAGTCATTGATCCCGGCTGCATCTGAATTGTTAGCGGGTGCAATCCGCACTGGGCCCGCGTGGTGGAAGGTCTGTACCCCAGCATTGGGGACGTTGATAGGCTGATTATGAAGTAACTTAATAACATCAGTCTGTGACCTTTGAGCTGCCCACAGCTATGAAACAGTGTTATGGAATAGTCTCCGGAAATACACAAACTACTCGTTTGTTACTATATTTTATCGTCTTTCTCCAATTTAGCTCACTCTTTTATAGTAGGATCTTCCTCCTCCCCGTTCTTGAGACGGTTTCTGCATTCCTGAGGGTCATAACCCTGCCTTTGCAGATCCCATTCCAGCAGTTCAATTCTGTTTTTTTTTCAAGAAAGCACTGATGGATGAGAAAAGGGGAGTGATGGTCTAGAAGGAAACAATTTCACCATAAGACAGCAACCCTGGGCGTTGGTCTAATAAGCCAGTCTTTGCATCCAGCCAGAGATCCTGGTAGCGGCTGCAGTGCCGTGAAGGACTAAATCCCATCTAAATACAGGCGTGAATGGACGTGGGATTCCACCTTGGGACTAACTTCCAAGAAAGTCATATGAAACGCATTTCTCAGTTGCTAGTTGAACAAAGTTCGAGAGCAGACTTACAGAAGGCGTCAATTATTTACACGCATTGAGTAAGAAAAACGAACAGGGAGAACTGAATAAAAGATTCTTTCACTATAGGAAACTCTGTGCACTGTTACTTTTTTCTTTGTGGAAGTTGCATACAAGGAGCTTGATGGAGCAGTTGGCAGCGCGCTTGGTATGCATTCATAGCAGTTATGCATTTCGCCGGGCGGGGCGAACGGGGGAGGAGGGGGGGGGGGGGGGCAGTTTACGTGCTCTTCGACGACGGAGAGATCTGCGTCACACTGCTATCAGGTTGCTCCGTGTCTCTGCGCTGTATGGCATTGTACGTCGTCTCCGTGCTAAATAATAATAATTATTACATTAACACCAAAGTCATTCAGGATGCTGCAATTATTTTATCAATGTGATTTTAAATTGCTGGACGTTGTTCAATTTCAAATATAAATCTATCCACGTCAGGATCCATCAAATGCCCTTACGTAATATAAACAGCCTGAGGAGCTCGATGGCGCGGGTGCTTAGCGCGTTCGGCTGCGATCGTTGAAGTTAAGCGACTTTCGCAGTGGTCGGTCATTGGATGGGTGACCAAAAATCTTCTGTCTTGAGCTCCTCCGTGCTTCGGAAGGCACGTTTAGCCGTTGGTCCCGGCTGCATCTGCAGTCGTTAGCAACCGCCAATCCGCACTGGACCCCTTAGGGAATGCCTGTGCCCCAGCAGTAGGGACATTAATAGGAACATACACACAGACAGACAGACAGATAAAAAAATTACTGATTGCATTTTTGGCATCAGTATCGATCACTAATCACCCACCCCCTGATAGTTATTTTAAAAATATATTTCATGTACAGAATTGACATCTCTACAGATTTATTATAAGTATAGATAACTATCAGGGGGTGATTAGTGATCGATACTGATGCCAAAAATGCAATCAGTAATTTTTTTGTCTGTCTGTCGTCTGTGTGTATGTTCCTTATAGAAACAAAAACTACTCAACGGATTTTAACAAAACTTGGTACAATTATTCCTCATACTCCTGAACAGGTTATAGTATACTTTTCATCACGCTACAATCAATAGGAGCAGAGTAGTGAAGGGAAATGTTGGGAAAACGGGAGAAGTTACTCCATTTTTTAAGCTTCCGTCGCGTGTGTAGCCTTAATGATTAAAGTTACATAGAAATCATGTATGACGGAAATATTTTACATAAAATTGTCTAAAAAATATCCTGCAACAGCATATATCTATCTTTTATGGTTGACTCACAATAACACGTGTAACTCCCGATAGCTTAGCAGTTCGGAGCATTCTGATCATATTTGTTTACTCTTACGTTTATAATACTCTGACTCATCCCTAATTTAAAAAAAGTTAACCTTATTACCTATTCAATAAAAACAAAACAGAAATCGGTATAGAAACACCAAATTTATACATGAAATAAGCCATCGCGCCGTCGCACGTGAATACTGAATCATGCTTTAAGGATTATTTTTGTGTAACGGTTGCCGCGCTCGACACGGGTCGCGGCGGCGGTAGGGTATCAAAAGGCGGGAGGTCCGAGAGCGAGCTGTATAAATCTGTTTTCTGCGTCGCTCCCCCCCCTGGGGGACGATCGCTTCCGATGAAGCCTTAGAGGCCTTCCCGGCCAGAGGGGGAACAGCCCCTACGGGTGTTTTTTAGTCAGTACGAGTCTGACATAACCTTGCAGCCGGCTGTAGGGTATCCATGAGGATTTCTCACCTGCTCCCCCGTCTGGGAGGAAACAAAAAAAATCAAAAAAAAAGAGAGCGAGCGAGCTTCAATATTTGGCTGTTGATGCGTTCAGAGCGTTCGACATTATTGACAGACAATAATTGAGAAATATTGAGAAACCGTGCTTATCACCGCGACTTTTAGTCTTTAAATAGTTTATTTGAATTTCTTTTGTTGTTATTTTGTAAAATAGGTATTAGTTGTTTTGGTAGTGTTTAAATATTCGTTCAAATTAAAAATTATTAAGCGTAGGTACTTTTATTAATTAAAGTAGTTATAAGTATTTATTTTTAAGTGAATTAGGTATAGGTAGATAGTATTGCACAGGCGTTTCAGCTTTATTTTCATTTCTTTTTTGTTGTGAGTTGTATATATTTATGGTTATAATTCTATAAGAATAGAATTCTATAATAGGCCCGGACTTCCTTCTCATGAAATTTGTTTAAAAATTGGCATTCCGATTATTCTGCTCCGAAATTTAAGACCACCACAAATTTTCAATGGAACTCGGCTTAAAGTAACCCAGTTGGTAAAACTGTACTTCCAGGGCCTAGAGGTGATATTTGATTTTTTTCTAGAAAAAGTCTCTATTAACGAATTTTTCTTTCTGCCGCTTCGCCGGCCGCTGCCGCGGCACGCTCGCTTCGCTCGCTCGGCTCGCGCGTTAAGGTCACAACACTAACCTAACCTAGTGTGAACACGAGGCCGAAGGCTTTGAGGATGCCATGGTAGTCAGACGATGTTAATATCATCAACAGGAATACGAAAAAGCTCTCAACTGCGACGAACACAAACACTGACTGACAGATCTCATTAATGGCGGTAAATTGTCACATTTTGACAATAGTACCAACATAATAAACTTATATTTACCATAGACAACGAGAAACAGGTTATTTTTGCATAAAAAAATGGCAGCACTGATCAAAATTGCTGTCAAAATTGACTCATACCCTACAAAAATATTAATTTTCAATAATTTTTTTCTCGAGTTCTATTCGTTTCCGCCTAAAAAGATTTCGTGTATGTGTTTTTAATAATTAATACCTTGCGTGACAAAAATTTCAGCTTGCAACTCAATTACATATAATGGAAAGGTGAGCCGCTTAACGTGCCTTCCGAAGCACGGAGGGACTCGAGATAATAAATTTTTGGTCACCCATCCAATGACCGACCACTGCGAAAGTCGATTAACTTCAACGATCGCAGCCGAACGCGCTAACTAACACTTGCACCATCAAGCTCCTCTTTGATTAATTTGATTGAATATATTTTTGGTGTATTGAACGATTGAGGTTTGACCAGTATTATTACCTACATAATGTTGCACTACATAACATAAAAGGGTTATGGGGTTTCTGATAATTTCAAAGTGGGACGGCAACATGATATAAATAAATAAATCAAAACTCGATGACGCATCTTTCAGCACACTGTGTTTTGTATTTCAATCCGCGTCGAAAACAGAATATTCTAATGTTAAAATATAATTGCATTAAATGTAATGAAAATATTTACTAAAAAAATCCATTCAGTCTAGGTTTCAAACAAAAAAGTGGATTGCTATTTAAAAAGTACCCAGTTTTATGATACATTTTCACTTTGCGATTGTATCACAGCATTTTTCTGTGTATACAAAAGGTCGTTGATCGCATGCAATAAATCACCCTGTATGAATTTTTATGTATTCTATCAGTATTTGTATTATATCCGTTACCCTAGCATCCCATAACACAACCCTACATTGCTTACTTTGAGGCTAGGCTAATTGGTGTAAAAAACAATAAAATGTATGTATGTAATGTATAGAGGACTGTAGATGCAGCCGGGACGAATTATGACAGGTAACTTTTAAGAGAGATAATAAATATTGGTCACCCATCATTTGCCAGGCTATTGCGAAAGTAACTCAACTTCCAAAAACGCAGACAGAACGCACAAACACTGACCTGAGAATAATTTTTCAATCAAGAAGGGCGCTCCAATTTGAGCCGAAAATCCGCTATGACCTACATCTCTAACAAGGTTTGTTACTCTACGCAAAAACGGCTGAATGGATTTGGATGAAATTTGGCACGAAAATAGTTTATTACCTGGATCGAGACATTTCATTTCATCCCGAAAAATTTTAGGTTTCTAAGGGGCTCTCAAAAAACAAAATTAACCTAGTCGACAATTATTATATCAGAGGCATTTAAACATGATTAGTTTACTATATGTCTGATCAAACTTTTTAGATCTACATCACAACCGTTTGATTTAAAATACCCCCACAGAAGTTTCTGAGTCGCTGATTAAGTTTTACACCTGATGTCACACAATTCCAAAGAGTAAGATGAAAGAAAGATGTGCACTGAAATGGAAAACAGAAATCGCAGATTACGTGGTGTTCCATATCTCCGGCTAAAGCATTTCAGCTGTCTTTTTCTACTAATGTCAGAAAAGTTTGTACAGCGTCATATCATAGTTATCGTTGAAACGGAATTTTATTTAAATTTATTTTAAACAAGCAGCTGATAGTTAAGCTAATTACAGTGAAAAGGAGTAAATAAGTCGAAGTTGTTTGTTAGAAAAATCTGGCAAGAAAAAAAACGATAACTTAAAATACTTTTATTAGTACACAACAAAATAAATAATACTAAACCAAACAACTGACAGGAAATAAATTTTATCACGAATTCCATGCGGTGCCTCAAAAAATATTTCCTTAAAAACTAAAAACATAATCGAATTACTATTTTATCGACAAATCATAAAACATCATCGTAGATTCCCATAGAACAACACGATCGACATGGCCAGGAGGGGAGTAGGAATCTTCCCCTCTCCCTAGGAGCTTGCCCCTCTGTCGCATTGGGCATACTCGTGATATATGTATTGCACGATTTGGCGGTGCATTGTGACATTGTTTATGTGTGAATGTTGTAGTTACAGTTCTGTTTCTTACCCATGTACGTTAAACTGCATTTGTGTGCATATCCCCCCCTCCCCCGCAAAAATGCCAGAATGATTTGGATAGTATTATGTCGCTATGGCTACTCCCTTCCGTGTTGCTCTATGTAATTTCCAGATAAGCTTTACAAAGTAAGCTACGCTTATAGAAGCCATTAAACAATAGATCCATTAAATAAAGCATTCAATATACGCGGAAGAAAGTTAGCTAGTTTTCATTTTAGCGTCGACTATGTATTTCCTCAGGAATTTGGCTATGTAGTAAATCACAAGAACGGCGACAGTAACAAAGGACATTGCGAGAGCTAGAAGAGCTGCTACGAATTTGAGTTCCAGGTACTCCGCCCAGGTGATGTTGGCAGCTGGGGAGCGCAGGTGCCTCGCGCCTCCGTGCCTAATGACGTACTCCGTCCACCACACGGCTCGCTCCAGCGGGGTCTGGGGCTGGTCTCTCATCAACGTCCTGAGACGAATCATGTTCTCGCGATAGCTGAAAGAAAGATACACATACATATACAGAAAGATCGTCTTGCCCACACCAAATCTCACGGTCTTTCAAAATGGCGCCTACTATATGGCAATTGAAGTATATAATCATCTGCCTAATTCCTTAAAGACGCTACAGGGTAAAAGGTTGAACTTGCTCTAAAGAATTTTTTAGTATGCAAGACATTTTGTACAATTAATGAATATTTTAGTGAAAAATTTAAAATTTTATCATATGCATTATTTTTTTGGACAATTGAATTAATTTTTACAATATGTTAGATTGAATGTTATATTGGGACGTTTATAATTATGACTGTAGATCACCTTTAGTTTGTAAGCATTATTGCAATACCCTAACTGGGTTCTTGTTTGGAATGATATATATTTTTTGTAACAGCATGGAAACAGCAATAATGCAATAAATGAATATACTACACTTATTATTTTTAACTGACTTCAAAAAGGTGAAGGCTCTCAATTCGACCGGAATGTTTTTTTTTACCGATTACGCCGAGATTTCTGATCCGATTAACGTGATTTGTTTTGCCCGATGAGGAATAGTTTCCATTTGGTCCTATAAAAATTCAATCAAGTTTGGTTGGAGAGTAGTTTTTATTTTATGGGCATTTTGTTAATTTGAACGATGTAATTTTCACGATACTTTGTTAACACGGTGCGGGGCAAGGACATGGCGGGGTCAAGGTTGAAACGCGTTACATACTATTAGAAAAAAAAAACATGTTTTTAATATTCACCCCGCCCGACTTACTAATCATACTAGAACCCATTCGATGTCATGTGAAATAGTTATTTATGATATTAGTGCGGTAAGTTGGTAATTACAACCGAGTAGACGAATGTAAGCCCGAGACGAAGTCAAGGGTTTATCATAGTCACAAGTTTGTTAAAAGCAATTCCGCACGAATGTCATACAACGTTTTTCGACACATTTGCGAGAAAACAGTACCTTTTCCTAGTTTAAGTACCTAACGAAGCAAACTTTTTCTAATAAGAAAATGGCGCGCATTTCCAATTGGCGTAACGTGCGGATGGTGAATGAAATTCATAACTTGCGCCTTTTTTTTCTTGAAATTATTAAAGTGAGATTAGGGTATAGATTATAAACACCTCCACTAAGTTCGTCTGAAATTAAAAAAAGGCCCGTAATTTAGAACTTTCGAACAATGTATGTACAGCTTTCGTAAATGCATTTTTGGATGCGTCGGATTTGTTGCTCTATGTTGATGCCACTACCTTATTATAATAATTAAAAACTTGATTTCTTCGCTTGAGACTAGTATGACTACCTTACCATAATTATTGAAGTAACAATCTCAACTCCATAAAAACATTAAACATTACTTTTAACTATAGAAGTTCCTCAATAAAAAGATTATAAAATAGTTTGTTTAAAGATCATGAGTATTAAGTTTTTAAAAGCTACTCAACGTGTCGGATACATTCCAGACTCGTCTGTTTTATTAAATTTTTGGTGTGCATGAAAACTTAAGAAACTAATAAGCTAATTTCCATTTATTTAGTCCATTTCAAACTTGTGTCGATATGTTGATGTTTATTTTCTCGCAGTTGAGAGAATGGCGTAGTATTTGGTTATGGTTCGTCTTTTACTGATTCAAACAAAAACATAATCATCAAAATTAGCCCACAAATCTCGATGAAATGCGCGAATTACAATAAAAACTGGCCAAGTGCGTTGTGTGCCACGCGCAGTATAGAGTTCTGTAGTTGCCTTTAGCTACCACAATATATTTGAGCAGGAGTCTCTATTTTCAATATCGGAAATTAATCAAACCAATTAGTATCAATCTATGTATCTTGAACTAAAATACCAAAATTAAAGTCAAACTGCGTCTCAAACTCAATTCGATATTGATATTATTTTTTTAAATACGAATGATAACCGCCATTTTTTTTTGTTTCCTCTCAGGCGAGGGAGTGCGTGTGAAATCCTCATGGATACCCTACAGCAGGCTGCAAGTTTATGTCAGACTCATGCTGACTGAAATACACACGTAGTTCATGCTTATGGCCAGAAGGGCCTTATCAGCTTCACCTGAAGCAATCATCCCCAGAGAAGGGGATGACGCGGTATAACTCTTTTCAAGAGATCCATAAAATTACAGCTCTCTAGTGCAAATAGTCTCCAAGCAAAACTAGGGACGGACAGACGGACATGGTGAAACTATAAGGGTTCCTTGTCAGGACTGACTACGGAACCCTAAAAAGAAAACCATACCGAGGGGTCAAGAACCTTCTCCTTTTCGTAATTGCTTAAAAAGCAGTGTTGTGTCAATCGTGAAGTCGTGAAGTACACACGAAAATAGGTCGAATACACCAACGCGGCTTTCGTTAATGCAAAATCTGTTTCTTATATACCAACCTTTTGTCTCCGATGACAGCATGGACAGCATCACGGAATTCATCCTCGGTGAGAGTGTCGATGTCAAGCCGCTTGCCAATTTTATGGTAGGTATACTTCTCGACGTTGAACCATTGGTCACCCAGCATTGGAATACCGATAAGAGGTACACCGGCTGTTATGGCTTCGTCTGTAGACTGCAATCCTCCTTGGGTGATGAAGAGTTTCACGTTTGGATGTCCTAAACAAAATAAATTGTCGTTGATTCAATCAAATAGAATAAGCTCCGAAGAGAGCTTCTACTATTTGATTGAATCTTTGAGTTCTTGACCCATCTGCTTACTAGACGAAAATGTTATATGAAGTATTTTTTATAGAGAAAACATATCCCAATTTCCTTTTAAAAAATATCATGAATTCATCAAAAACCACGATGCAAGTGAAACTTTTACCCCCTTATTAATAAACAAGGAATAAGCTTAGTATTACGCCGTGTTTTGTTCATGTCACTCAAATGCCATTTGTCGTTCAACAGACAGAGGCAAAACATGGAGTAACTAATCCAAGCGTAGACCTAGCTTATTAATAAAGGGGTTAAAGTCTTTAGATCGCCTCATATTGTTTTGTTTTATATTTTTGCCTCATTTAATTGATTTTGGAAAATTTATCAAAAAAAAAAGTTGATGTTAAATCCGGCATTTAAGAAGTGGAAAAAGTCCTTCCTCGGCTGGGAAACGAAATCGCTTTCTACCACTGAACCATTAAAAATGTCATGCGGCATGCAAAGGATATATAAAATATTGTGGCAATGTTATAAAAGCTTTACTATATATAATACTTATTTGATAAAACATTCTTTTTGTCTGGTGAGCAGATGAGTTAAGGACGACCTCTCTTCAGATCTTTGACTAAGATGACGATCAGCTGTGTTATCTGTAAAATTTTCACGCGTGGATCCGATGTGGGAAACGCGCTGATCCGCATCGGATCCAAGCGTGAAAATTTTACAGAATGCACTGCAGTTGCTTAATACGAGCTCTATTTAGTCGAGGAAACATTATACTAATAGGTATTTGGCCACAGTCTTATTTAAGGTAGAGGTTACATTCCTCTCTGAAAAAGACGCTATATTTGCTATAATTCGCAAATTTTCAGATGTAATTCAATCTAAAACTTAATGTTACTCTGTTTCTCAAACTTCACTAAATTGCTCTTGTTCTAGTTAAGATTTCATCAACCACAACTTCTTTGACAAAACACATGACGCAACACAATTTCAACCAAAATCTTGATCGTTCACGGTAAAGGATGATTGGGGAACTTCGCAAATTCTCTAAGTCACATGTAGCGGTAGCGAGTGAATGAAATACTGAGGAGTTTGCACCGTTGCGTAGTTGTAACGAATTTATTGTCCATTTCAACCGGAAGTTAGAAACGTGTTTGCAATATACTCGTATATGCTACAGTTAAAACCCGTTTTTAAGATAGAACGTGTTTTTCCTAGTTAAAATTAGTTTTTACTTAATGCCTTTGTTAAAACTAGAAATAACTAGTCAAAACTAGAATTTACCACTGATATATGTGATTTTCATATATAACTTGTTGTCACTCCGAGGTTTAGTTAAAACTAGCGATAGATAGAGAAACTAATTCGGGATTGAAAACAAGATAAAGTTTTAAAAAAAAAAATTAGGCAGAAATTGATAAAAATTGATCCCAAGTTGTTTCCTTTTTAGGATTCTGTACCTCAAAAGGAAAAAACGGAACCCTTATAGGATAACTTTGTTGTCCGTCCGTGCGTCCGTCCATCCGTCTGTCAAGACCGTTTTTCTCAAGAACGCGTGGAGGTATCAAACTGAAATTCATATCTAATATTTATGTCTACTGTCCCTTGGAGCTGCGAAAAAATCAAACTTCTAAGCCAAAGCGATCAAAAGATACAGGCGTTTATGCCGCAAATTTTCGAAACTCACTCGGGAATCAAAACCTGCAGAGTACTTCCCGTGAACTTAGAATCTTGAAATTTGGTACGGAGTAACGTCTTATTGTACAGATAAAGGAAAAAAATATAATAAAAAATATTTTTGGAAATATTAAAGTTCTACTACCTCTACTAACTACCTCTTTTCTCATGAACGCGTAGAGGTATTAAATTGAGTTTGTACGGAACCCTCGGTGCGCGAGTCCGACTTGCACTTGGACGGTTTTTTTACTAATGTTTCATATTGATTTTGTTAGATATTGGCATTATTGCGATAATTCTTATTTGTTGTGCCCAACAGGGTCCTTAATCTGACCTGTACATATTTTGAACACCTGTTGTGGGTTATTCAGGTGCTGTGGTTATTAAGAACAGTTTAAGACTTGCTTCGGGAATACGCGTGTTATCTAGTAAGAACTAGATTTAACTGATATTCTATTTTGAGCATTAGTTAATTCTAGTTTTAACAAAGGCATTTAGTAGCAACTAGTTCTAACTAGGAAAAACGCGTTAATATACACATAATAATAGGCGTAGTATATTTTATTTATAAATATTATCTTTTTTTTATTAAAGTATTTTAAAGAACATTTTTTTCTTTTTTTTCTTTAAATATGTAAAAATCACTCGCATTTTGTTTGGCGTTCGGACGTCAATAGGCGTTGGCTGAAAATCAGCGCTGCTGTGGTATTGCGAAAGTACTACCACAGTAGCATAGCTGAGACAGCGGCTTGTTGGCCCTGCACAGCACTAACTTAAATTAGTTTTCTTGGTTTTATTTTTATTTGTAGTTATGTTTTTCCTATTCTGTTTTGTTTTTAATGTGTGCTGTGTAACCAATAATTGTTTTTCTTTCTTCTTTCAATTGATTCTGCGCTATAAAGTTGAAGACGTCATACGAAAAGAAAATGAATTACAATAAAAATCGAGAACTTATTAATATTAGATTTTAACTACCTGTCTTCCTTGTTATACCTTATCCCCAATTTTATTGAACGAGGAATGAGCTTAGACTAATTACGCCGTGTTTCGTTTATATTACTCAAACTAGCGGCCCGCCCTCGCTTCGCTTCGGTGTAGAGCTGAAGTGTAGACTACAGTTTTTGTTCTCAGACTTGTATTATACTTAATGACATTCATCTATGATTCTTCTTAAATCTGCATGCAAAGTCTCAGCCCGATCGGTTTAAAATCGACAAAGTTTCATACAAACTTTCATTCCCTATTTTATCCCCTTGGGGGTAGAATTGATCAAAATCTTTTCTTAGCGGATGCCTACGTCATAACATCTACCTGCATGCCAAATTTCAGCCCGATCCGTCCAGTGGTTTGGGCTGTGCGTTGATAGATCACTATGACAGTCAGTCACCTTTGAGTTTTATACGTTTATATAGGTATAGAAAGATGACATTGTAATTCAAAGAAAAGAGACAAAACAATGCGACTAATCAAAGCTCATGTTTCGTTTATTAATATGGAGGTTTGGGTTTTACCATCTTGATCTCTCATAGACTACTATGGTCACTAAGCATCATTAGCTGTGCGTTATTCAAATAAAACTATATAATTGTCTGCACTAATTTGTATAATGATGGATATTTGTAATAATAATTCTACCAAACTGAATAAAGTTGGTCTCGTGCAAAATAAAATTAGATAACGCAAAGTATTAACGCGGAAGATTTCTAAGATTTCTAAATCTTTAACGAAGGAATGCCACTTAGGGTAAAATTGGTCATCAATTTAACGGATTGTTCGTAGTATTTCTGAGAATCTCATAAGAAGACTTTTCTTAGACAAGGCTTTCCAAAGACAGAAAGTGTATAAATAAATAAATATTTCTGACACTGGAATCAATGAGCGTAGTCCTAAAGTAACTACTTGTGTAATGGTATGCTAGGGTAACGGATAGAAGTACATTATCATTATAATGTACTTACCATAGTGTAAGTCATGACTGTTTATTTTTCTATAATAGTATCATTATACTATTATAGAAAAATAAATAAAGTATAATGATACTATTATAGAAAAATAAACAGTCATGACTTACACTATGGTCGTCATCATTTATCATCGTCGTCGTCATTTAGTTTAATTTTTGTACGATTTAACATACTGAGGAGCTTGCTGGCGTAGGTGTATAGTGCGTTCGTCCCGGGATTGTGGAAGTTAAGCAATCTCCACTATGGTCGGTCATTGGATAGGTTACCAAAAACTTATTAACTCGTGCTCCTTCGTGCTTCGGAAGGCACGTTAAACCTTCCGAAGCACGAAGCATCTGCAGTGATTAACATCCACCAATCCGGGCATGACATGACCCAGTCTCCTTATTCCATAGGAAAGCCCTGTGCCCCAGCAGTGAGGACATTAACAGGCTGGTGATGATGATGGTGATCAAACATACTGGGTAGTGGGAGTCGCATGCTAAAATGATGATAATAAAACATACTATGACCTATAAATTGAATGTTACTTATGAAAGTTGAACTCACTCAAGAGATCAGATTGCGGGAACCATTTGGATATTTTAATATTTTCCGATCGTCCCTCCAGCTCGTCTTTGTTCCATTTCCAAAGAACATTGTAGGGTAATTGTGATAGTACTTTCACTAAAATTTGAATCTTCTCCGGTGGCATTTGTGATGGATCCACATTTGTTCCGAAACTGATGTAAATTACGCCATTAGTGGAGTTATCCAGGTAAGACTTCAGCTCCTGAAATGAAATAAAGCAATTAAGATTACAATGTTTCAAGACTCATAATTGGGAATATCATAATTTAGAGCCACTTAAACAAATGTCCTTAAAGAAATAACAATGACTTCGTACTAATTTCTATCTCCATTTACTAATTTCTATCTCCTGAATGGAGAGAGAAATTAATTAAATTTAAAATAAAGAAATTAATAGTGCAAACAGTTATCCAAGGTTCTCTGCTAGGTGATATTTTAACCTCAGCGTAGTTCAAAGTTTTATTGAAGTATTTAAGCACCTTCGTTATTATTATTTTTATCACAATTTAATTTATTTAGTCACTATTACATTTCAATTCCGGCATGAAAACAAAAATTCTAAAGCTTATAATTAAAAGCGTTTAATTAACTTGCAAAGTATCTATGTATGTTTTAATGTTTGATTGGGTGGAATCTTGCAACTCAATTTTGAAGAAGATGTCTACATTCGATTGAGCTAAAACTTTGTACACACGTTTAGCTTTCATGACAATGCATGATGAGCTGTGTCACGTCATTCTTAATCCAATAATGGGTATCAAATGAAAGGGCTTACTAAGAATAACGCGATAAATAAAGTGACGACATGTTCTGGTAGTAATAATATGAACATTAAAAAAATAATATCCGCACAAATTTTGTTCATTTACACAAGTAAATCTTGCGACAAGCTTGCACTTGCATAGTTTGTCCTAATAAGAGTATTTGTTTGTGTGATAAACACAATCATTTGTTTAGGAATCATATCTTTTGATACAATATTTTCATAGTTTGAATCTCAAAGATTACGGACCTTGTTAAAGATAAACCCGCGATACTAAAATATGTTCTTAATATCCAATATTGGGTAATTATCTGTTTATTGTATAGGTCAAATCGAAGGAATGAATTTATCTCGAGTGGTTCGGTTTCAATAAATTTAGCTCGAAACTTAACAGAACTATAAAATATTGATTTGTGATTATTTAATTAATCAGAATACATTACAATATCTGATCGATTTCATTTGATTTTTATATGCCTCGTGATGTAATTCAGCAAAACCTGATTAAAATTCAATAACAGTTCGAAATCAATTTCTGAGATCTTATGAAAAATATTTCGAAAGTAGGGAATTCTATAGCCTGCAATTAAAATATCGTCAAATTATGTTAGTTTAAAACCAATTTCTAAGAGGTTATAAAAATTAAATCTAGAAATGGGTAAATGAATGTTTTCAATAATGATTTTGTCGAGAAATCGATTTACATTAAGGATCTCTTTTGCTGGTTTTTGTGGCAATCCGCCGGTATGAATAAGGTTAGGAGAACCCGGCCGATTGCCCTCCCAAATAGGTTTCATGTTTAATAACAAGTCCACATTATTACTCAACTTGGACAAACTAGGAAGATCAGCAATGCTATTTTGTAAAATTTTCATAAATTCGCATAAATTTCTGAATTTATATCGGAACGCGTGAAAATTTTACAGTATAGCATTGCAGGACCGAAGGTCTTCCAAGTTAGTTCATACTCCTCCGTTTCGAAATACTCATACCAAAGTATGAGTTTGTAATGCAAATAGAACTCCTCGATCTTCTCCCAAAACGTAATGTTGAAGAGTCATCGGTGGAACACTGTTGGATAAAGAAATGGGTGTACGAAAGCTCCAACAGTTTCTTAATTACCAAACACAGCACCCAAGGAACTGACTTGTACGATTGGCACTTTAAATACATGAGCGAGCTTCCAAAATAAGCAAGTCAAATATATTATTTTTATCTTCGAGAATTGTTTGCACTTCTTCAGTTAGCATCTGCTCACCGAAAACTTTATTAATCAGCTGGAACGCAACTTTTATTTTATTAGACTCATTATTCGCGCCTTTTGATGAGACTGCCTGAAAGCTTTCTTGAACTGGTTTGTATGAGAGTTCGTGGACGTCTATCTTTGTGAAGTTGATTGGAGTTTGATCCTTTTGGAAACTCTGGGTCCGATGTCACGACAATGACTTCATGGCCACGTTTTACTAATTCCTGCATTAACGGTCTGATCGCTATTTGGTGGTTTATAGACGGTGTAGGAAAAACTGCGAGAATCATGGCACTTTCACTTAAGCTGAGTACGTTAGTTGCAATAAGAATCAATTATTTTTGTTTTAATAATTAACTAATCAACTTCAAACTACGACTCATTTCCTTTCAGGCCCTCATACATTGTCGTCTTTCCGCAATAACTATTCAGTTACAAACAAATAACAGAGAAAATATAGTACGAACAAACTTACTCCGAGAAGTGATTGGGTCAAATAAATTAATTAGTCCACTGAGATCAATTATTAAGTGATAAATTCCATTAAATTATTCAATTAATAGTAATTAAGATACGTTCGATGTTGGCACTGTACTTAAGATTGTGTCACTAATAAATTTAGTTTCATTACTGTCAGTTTTATCAAATGCTTATTTTATACCTTTTTAATTATTCTGCAGTTTTTATTGGTTTCCAATACGAACAGCCATCCTTATTCAATGCTTGTGTGTTATTATATTACCTATGCAAAAAAATGGCGTGGTTTTATGACAACACCATTCAAATGAATGATTTAAAATTATTAATAAAAAAGTCCTTTCTATGCTGGGAATTGAACCCGGGCGGCACTGATAGATAGCAGGCGAGCTGTCTATCACTGAACCACCGATGCTTGTTGATAAGGTCTGATTTTTTTATAACAATTCCAAATGTATAGCGACATGCTAAAGTTAAACAAAAAAATAAGTTTCACTTTAAAACTCTGAACGAAGAGCCCTTAGTGTATTTTTTATGAATATTACTGAATCAAAATTAGAAGTAATTTGCATTACTACTAAAATTAATTTGAATTCGTTTACATTTTTGAGTCTTATTGAGTGACAGAAGAAATAGATTCTAATTTCATTCAATACTTAATTTTATTCATCATTCAATGAGAAAAAAAATATTTTTAACCAACTTCGAAAAGTTGGGGGTTTTCAATTCGTCGCTATATATATTTTTAACTGTTGTTCGTGCATATCTAGGAGTTTTGTTGCCGACTTTGGTGATTCTTTTTTTTTTGTTTGAAAGAATTTATTAGCGAGATGGTCTTATGTTAATTTGGTAAAGAATTAATAAATACTTTTGGAGATTACCAACGGAACTCCTCAAATAATAATAATAATAATAACCTTTATTTCACACCATAATCACAATGTTCACAATGTTGGTATTAATGGCTACATAAAAACAATGATATAAAAAGCATGCATTTTTTTTACCAAAAATAAAAGGTACGTATTGATCAGATTATGGTAGGTTGACACCTGAACTAGGATGTCAGAATCCTGTGTCTCAGGTAATCAACCCTCCACCCTATTCATAAAGTTGTGTACCATTAAACAATTTATTAATCCAGATAACTGTTCTTAAGTTATTAATTCAATGGAATAGCCAAAGGAGTTTGTTATGTATGTGTGTGTGTGTGTGTGTGTGTGTGTGTGTGTGTGTGTGTGTGTGTGTGTGTGTGTGTGTGTGTGCGTGCGTGCGTGCGTGCGTGCGTGCGTGCGTGCGTGCGTGCGTGCGTGCGTGCGTGCGTGTGCGTGCGTGCGTGCGTGCGTGCGTGCGTGCGTGCGTGCGTGCGTGCGTGCGTGCGTGTGTGCGTGTGTGTGTGTGTGTGTGTGAAATGGACTTATGAAGTGTACTTGTCGTCTACTTTGGTAGGGTTTAACCTGTTCTACAATTTGGGACAGGAGTACGAATGCGTCTTTTATTTAGGGGCAGCTGCGTAGGATCCATGGTTTTATGGTAGCGGAGAACCGAGTTGTATATAAACAACTGTCGAACAGTGAGAAGCCCAGTTTCCTCGTAGAGCTGTTTGGTTGGGTATCTTCTAGGCTTACCGAACATAACTTTGATCACAGCTCTCTGAGCCCTTTCTAATTCCAGGAGAAAAGAGGCAGCTGCTCCACCCCACACCGTAACACAGTATGTCAGAAGAGATTGGAAGAGGGCAAAATAAATTTTACGAATTAGATTGTGGTCGGCGGCATCTCTGAGGCTCCTAAAAATGGGAAGGAGTTTCCTTATCCTTTTGCTTATCGCTGTTACTTGTGGGTGCCAATTTAGGTTCTTGTCAACTATTACCCCTACATATTTGTGGTCATCTGTTTGCGTTAGGAGTTCACAATTGCAGTTAATTTCTAGGTCACACAAAGATGAATGGGCTTTAATAGTGAAGTGGATTGGTGGCTTAGTAGCCTCAGAGATTCTAAAACAAATACGAATAGCACACATATCGTTTTAGGTTACTTTACGAAAGATTAAACAGAGATTAAAGGCCAGACATCTACAATTAGTACATTTATGCTGCTATGACTTATAAAAGTGAAAAATAAATAAACAAACCCACTAAAAATTAAGAAATAAATCATATTTTTTTAATTGAGTTCAAAGTGCCTTTATATTCAAATTAATAGTTGAAGTCGGTGCCTATAGTCCAGTCAATGCCTCAAATATAACGCAAACATATTATAATTTTTATTATTTTTAAAGCATGTAACTGCTTGATGTTTAAATCTAAAGAAAATATAACTAGAAAAAATTCCACGCGGACCAGGCAGCAGACGGGACTCGAACCCGCATCCTTCGCAATCCGGGCGAATGACTGCCTTGCAGCTTAAGAATAGCTAGAAAGAATTTCGACGCGGTCCGTGAGGGCCGCGGTAGCATAATTGGTCAGTGAATTCGCCCGGATTGCGAAGGGTGCGGGTTCGAGTCCCGTCTGCTGCCTGGTCCGCGTGGAATTTTTTCTAGTTATATTTTCTTTAGCAAACATATTATATATATATTTTTGCAAAAAGCGACAGATCTGTTAATTTTTACTTCATCTAGTAAAATTAAAATATCTGGTAAAATTCAAACAAAGTGTCTACATGAAAAATGAGTTTACATCCGAAACTTGGTTTCAGCGGTAATACATTTACAAACTTAAGTGTTTTGAGTGCGTTTATTAGGTTTTAAATCAAGAATTTTGGAAATAATTTGCAGTTATTCTATTTATTCATTAGCTATTTCAGAAAGTATGCGTCGTAGAGCATAGTGGGTTTTACCTGTACATGCGGCTTAATGAGACGGGTCGATTGGTAAACGGGTGATTGGATAAAAGTTCAGTAGCGGAAAAGTGCAGATAATCGGTTTTGGCACTAAGGGGACGATTTACTAACTAATAAACTTCTCGCTTTCTAAACGCGCTTTATTCGTTATTTTGAAAATGTACATATTAATAATTATAATTAGTAATAGTAATTAATAGGAATAACAATTAATTAATTCTTCATTAATAATTGTTATTAAAAAATAATGAACAAAAATATTTACAAAGAATAAGGAAATTTATTTATATTCAAAATAGGGAACCCTTCTACTACAAAGGCGATGTTCTTGGCTGTAACATTTCGGTAGTCATTTTTTTACCATTTCGGTAGACAATTTTCATTTCAGTGGACTGCCGAAAACTCATCCTTTAATATTTCAGTAAGTGGTGATTGTTGAATTTGACCCGTAGGATCGTTTAAAAATGGAAAAAAACCATTAACAGTATATTTTCTTTTTTATTTTGCACCTTTAATTGCATTTTGTGCAAAAACTATGGGAGACACGCGAAAATATGTTGAAACCTTTTTTGTAGGAAATTAAATTTTCTACAACTTTGTACGAAAAACTTTTTCTATTTTTCCAGCCAGTCGCGAGATATTGACGAAAACCTCGTTTTTGCACCATTTAGCATTTTTTTTCACCCTTTGCCGTCAATGCAGCACCCTGCAATTTTAGTATATTAATCTACCCTTGCGGAAATTTTCGCGTTGGTTGCAGGTGATCAAATCAAAATGGCAAAGTTAAGCCTACATTGACTGGACTACTACGTTTGTTGGCATGATAATGACGATACCATAATTTAAACGCCCTAGTCCAGTAGGACCTAGAACATCATAGGTTAATGTATACCGTGGTCCTACCATTAGGACAAACCGACGCGATGGAAACACGAGAACTTGATCCTAGAAACATACTCGCTAACAAAAATTAATGAAATAATACTGAAACGAAGAATTTTATTACCTGAGGTAGTTTCTTCATAGGTGCCTGATGCAGTCCACCCATTGTAATCACATTGGGAGGCAAGGGACGATTGTCTTCCCAAATCGGGTTCACATTGAGGAATATCATATCCACATTTTCAGCCAATTCGGACAAATCTGGAACTTCGGCACCAAATACTTTCCTGATCAATTCATTCTCATATGCTTCGAAACGATTGAACCAGCCCAGGTACTTGTAGTGATTATACAATTCCCTAGCCTTTTCCCAAAACGTAAGATTGTATAATTTTTGACGAAAAAATGTTGGATACAAAATTGGATGTAGTGGCGCACCGGCTACTTCATAGTTATCATTGGTTCCACCTAAGGAACTAATTTGTATTAGAGGTGCTTTCAGTACATGTGTCAATGATAAGGCTGGTTTTGCTAAGGCTTCAACAAGTAGCAAATCGAACTTTTTATTCGTGTCTTTAAGAACTGCTTGAACTTCATCACTTTGCATTTGCTCTTTGAAAATTCTTGCAATTAAGTGAAAAGCAACCTTTATTTGGCTAAATGAATCTTTACTGCCCTTACTTGTGATTGCCAAAAAGTGTTCTTTCCAAGCCTTGTACGATAAATCGTGTACGTCAATTTCTGTGTAGTTTGCCGGTGTTTGACCTTTGGGGAATGCTGGATCGGTAGTGATGACGATTAACTCGTGACCATGTTTGGCTAACTCCTGCAGCAACGGTCTGAATACTACTTGATGACTGATAGAAGGAGTTGGAAAGTATGCGAGAATCCTAGCCGCTTCATTGTTTGAAGCAAAAAATAAAATTATACACAAAAACTTCACTACACCCATGGCTCTGTGAAAGACAATCTTTGCTTGCTCTATAATGACTGAGGTTCATGATATGCAAGATTCTTTATAAATTATACGGAAATGAACTAAAAAAAGATAACATGAACTTCGATGTCACACCTTTGATGAACTAATAACCCCGCAAAAGATTACGGCTAGGGCTGTATGTATAAAGTAGTTCATAAAAAATAACGTTTCTGACATTATTTTAATTATATTATGAAACTTGACTATCCTTGAAATATTTATTTATATATTATGAAACTAGTTATCCCCAATACCTGTAAGTTCGTCTGCATGTCTATTATATATTCGCGTCAAAATATATCTAGTCAATAATATCTTCCTCCATATTTTCTCACCAATTTTTTCAAGATTTGGTTTATGTGACTTAGGTGTGAAAGCGTAACTTATAGACTCACAGACACTTGGGCAGAGATTACTTGCATTTATTATATGGACAAGAGGGCACCGCGAACTCGCTTGCGTAGAATAATGGATTGTCTATAAAAACGTTCAAAATGAAATTCGATAGAGATAAAATACTTCCTTAAAATTTCATTCCTGTAACTTGGTCCTTTTTGTGGATAATAATTTTATAAATAAAATCGTGATAACGTAATAACAGAGTTTCATAGACATTTAGTTCTGTATCCTTATATTAATTTCTTATAATATTAGCTTTGTCAAGGAACAAATGAAAAAACACATCACAGTAATCGCGTATGATGTGTAACATTTATTGTATGTATGAATAAAATTCACCCTTCAATAATGTCAGTGGATTAATCGATTACCATAGATAAATGATTTTCATTAATAATATTAATGTGATGAAAGTTGACATCAACACATGTTTTCAATTTTTGACGTCATCTTTCAATTGACGACTCTGTATGAAACAAAACAGGGAGCAAAAAATAGCCCTTGCTGAGTTTCTTGCCGGTTCTTCTCAGTACAAGGTCTCCCGCCGTAGATTTACGAACCGATGGCGTAGCGTTTGACTTTCACAAGAGCTTGTAACAACCTAGACTGAATAAATGAATTTGAGTTTGAGTTTAAATCTGGCATCGGCTACTATTACTTATTTAATATAAAATTTTATTTATTGAGTGACTAGAATATATAGATAGACTGTAGTCTAAAAACAGATAACATGAACTTTTAATGTTGTTGTTGTAACACATGGTTAAGCTGTAAACCTAACCTAACCATATGTACAAGTTGATACAAATATTGAGAAGTGGGAAAAGTGTTGTTTGCGACCCACATAAAGTTATCTTAATATTATTTATTGTTGATGATTCAAGTCATGACTTAACAAATTTAATAAATAAAACGTAAAAAATAAGCGTTATGTGACGCAAGGGTAAAGCGATTACAATTTTATTAAATTCTGCAATAAAAAACGAAGAAATTGTATCTAATTGTAAATAAATTTTCTGCTATTGATTTTTAGAGCGGATATGGATTTTAATCACACATCAAATCAGTGTTATATTGATAAGTTATTTTTTAATATTACATTGATTCGTTTTTTCAGTATTTATTTTTATAATAATATAGCAGAAAAACGCTTGGTGTTTTTTTCGTTAGTGTTTTTCTTGTTTTCTGTATTCCGGGGATATAATAATACGTCTTTTTGTGAATCTGACCAAGTGGAAAAAAATGTAATTTATTTATAAAATTATTTTATTTTATTACTTACCTCAGGCAATGGTTTCACATTCTTTAAATGCAATCCACCCATAAATATCACATTGGGAGGCACAGGGCGGTTGCTGTCCCAAACAGAGTTCAAGTTAAGAAATAGCATGTCTACATTATCCTTCATTTCTGATAAACTAGGAAAATCCGCACCAAAAATCTTCTTGACGAGTTCATTCTCCTCTTTTTCTAAATAACTAAAGAAATTTAGAATCCTGTAGTGGGTGTACAGTTCCAAGGCTTTTTGCCAAAAGGTCATATTATATATCCTTTGGCGGAAGACTGTCGGATACAGAATTGGATGCACGGGTGCACCAACTGTTTCGTAATTTCCAATCATTGCACCAAATGAACTAACTTGTATCACTGGCACTTTCAATACATGTGATAGCGCTAAGGCCGGTTTTACTATTGCTTCAATGAGTAACAAGTCAAATTTCTTGCTAGTGTCTTTCAGAACTCCTTGCACTTCCTGTGTCAGCATTTGCTCTCCAAATGTTTCGTCAATCAAACGTATGCCAACTTTTATTTGTGATAATATATCATTGTCACCTTTCGAAGACATAACCAAAAAATTATCTCTCCAGGATTTGTAGGAAAAATGTACGTCGATTTCGGTTACATTTGGTGGCGTTTTACCCTTGGGAAATGCAGGGTCCGTGGTGATAACGACGACTTCATGACCACGCTTTGCTAACTCTAGCACAAGAGGTCTAAACACCACTTGGTGGCTTATAGATGGCGTAGGAAACACGGCCAGAATCCTTGCAGCTTCATTGCTAACACATACAGAAATCAGTAGCACGAAACACGCAACATCCATGATATAAAAATAATGACTACAGTTAAACGTAGCACTTTATATTTATAGAATAGGTCAGAGCACAAACTACGATGACTTGGGCTATCATTCACAACATCATTAACAATACTAAGACATCATAATAACTGACTACTATTTTGAGAACAAAGCCTATTTCCTTTACAAAAATTCATACGTCAACCATGACTGTGTCAATCTTGATTCTTATAACAGTGTACGGAACATCTAGCAATATAAAATTGACTAGTAGGTATAATTGTAGTTAACAATTGTAATTATTAATTGTAGTTATCAATGTACACGGTTGCACAATAAAAGAAACAAAGGAAGTAGGAACAGAACGCATTGCAATATTTACACAAAATAAATAGTACAGAAGGTAATCTACATAGAAAAGTCAGCTCGATCAACGCACATAGGCACCACTCCCGGACACGATATCTTGGAGCGCTTGGGACCAGTCTGATTGTGAATTCGATTCGTTTTAGACTTGCATTTATAAACTTTTTTGTGCAACATTGCAGTAAAAAAAAATGAAAACTCCTAAGTGGGCGGCTGTTCGAATTCAATGTGATAAACGGTGATATTATTGTCATTGTTAGGGTTCCATACCCAAAGGTAAAAACGAATATCTATTGCTGTCATTTTGTTTTCTGTGTGTTCGTATATCATGGACTCTAGATCGTAATCATAATGAGTTACAGAACTGCAATGTTGGTATTTTATGTAGAATACTTCCCCAAAGCCGAATATTTAGTCAAATATTTAAATAAATTATATTTTATACATGACCGAATGGCCATGTATGAAGAAAATTAGGCCCAATGGCCGAAGTTTTTTACCCAAACATGTGACACATCATTGTTTGCAATCATTACTATCTCAAAATTGAAATAACTTACAATGTGATTTTTTTGTGTATGATGTCTCATATACTGATAACGCCGATTCGTAATGTACTTTGTAAATAGTGACGAAACAAAGAAATGCTTTTCATTTCACGGTTTGTTACGATGTTCAGCTCAAAAGAAAACTAGGAATTTTATAAGTCAGTGATATGAGGCAGTTTCAATAACAGGACGAATATTTTATTCGTATATTTAGTTTAATAAATAAATTAAAATAATATGTCCTCATTTAATTTCTTAAAGTGATTGCAGTCAGAATTTGACTAAAGTTATCATTAGACTTTCAGTTTCTCCAATCTGTAGTGCTATTCTGTACGTATGATTAGAATGCGAATAAAAATGAAACGAAAGTGCCACCAAGACCCTAAACGATGTCAGTAGATAAAACGACCACAAAAAATGTAATTATTTATCATAATTTGTATGAAGTTTGTATGAAGGTATCGGCTACTTAAATATAAAGAAAAAAATACCTTAATAAAAATAAAAAATACGTAACTAAATCTAAAGTTTTATTTAATTATAAAAGAGAAGTTTATGTAAATTCTATTATTGTTATTGGTTATTCTGAGCCGAAACAGCGCTTTCGATTATGGTTGCGATACTTTTCGCGTTGTTAATTTTGCTTGTTTTTTCCGGAGACGGTTGCATTACTTTCACGGATTTTATTGACCTATGCAATAACAGTGGACGTTCTTATTTTACGTGTCGTGTATTTGTCGTATTTTGTTTTGACACCGTAACAATATGATATTTTGTTAATATTGTTACATAATTTTTTAACGCTGTGAATGTTTTTTCGCCAATTTTTCTCCGCAGCTAAAAAATGTCCTTAACTGGTGGTAGGGAACAAATTTGTACGATTCAAAAGAGTTGTATTATGCATCTAATTTGAATAAAACATTTTGACTTTTGACTTTTTTTGAATGCCTTCTGTATTATGTCTGTCTTTTTACATTTGTGCATTAAAAATTGAATAATTAAATACCCTTTAGATTAAATGTTACCTAACATCAACTAAAACTCTGATTACTCTGTGCTCAGATTGGTAAAATTAACACAATTTGCAGTGATGGTCTCATAAAAAAAAATACACCATTGTCATCTTGCTATATTTTGGCCACAAGTTTGTATTAAACAGTTTAAAAATAAAATACTTTTATTAAATTGTTAAAAATAATACTTGTTGTACTAAAATTGGTTTGAAATAACCTTTTTTATTACTTACCTTAGGTAATGGTTTCACATTCTTCAGATGTAATCCACCCATAAATATCACATTGGGAGGCACAGGGCGGTTGCTGTCCCAAACAGAGTTGAAGTTGAGAAATAGCATGTCCACATTATCCTTCAGTTCTGATATACTAGGAAAATCCACACCGAAAATCTTCTTGACGAGTTCATTCTCCTCTTCTTCTAAAGAACTAAAGAAATTTAGAATCCTATAGTGGGTGTACAGTTCTGAAACTTTTTGCCAAAAGGTCATGTTATATATCTTTTGGCGGAAGACTGTCGGGTACAGAATTGGATGCACGGGTGCACCAACTGTTTCGTAATTTCCAATCATTGCACCGAATGAACTAATTTGTATCACTGACGCTTTAAGTACATGTGATAGTG